TTTTCTGGTGGTTAATTGGAGATAAGCATCTCATGGATCGCTATTAAGAAAATTTCCGCCTGTGTCAAGGAGCCCTGAGGTTTCTCCTATTCCTTTCTGTAATATTTTATGGAGTCTGCTTTTATTTCGAGGTCTTTGATCCATTTGGAGTTGATTCTAGTGCAGGGTGATATATACAGATCTAGCTTTAGTTTTCTACAAGTGTTTAACCAATTTTACCAGCACCATTTACTGAAAAGGCTGTTTTTCTTCCATTCTATTTCTTTTGTTGTTGTTGTTTGTCTAGCCAAGCAATGTTTTATTACTTTCTTTTTTATTAATAAGTTTTTTATTGTGAAAATACAGTACAGACGGGTTACAATTACATGAGCAAGGTAATTGGTACATTTCTTATCAAGCATTGTTGCCTCCTTCTTTGTTTTTCCCTTACCATCCCTGCCCTCCATCTCCAAGACTACACTACCCCCCCTCCCACCAAAGATGCAAAGTTCAGTTTTCGACATAGCATCTTGTACATTTTATTGTTGCAATGGGTCCACCTGTATCCCTATTTAAACAATGTGATTTTTTTCTCTTCCCTTCCACAAATTATACCAACATCAAATACAGTGAAAACAGGGGTTATGCCAAGGGGGAGGGACATACAAAGCAACAAAAAAATCACCTTATAAATATGTTAGAAACAATAGCAAAAGAAAACCACTTGAGTCCTTATCTTTAGGTTAATTTCGCCTAACATCAACTTGTCTGAACTTTTCTGCCGGTTTCATACATATACTAGCTATAGCAAATAAGAGAAACCATGGGATCCATGTTTCTTTGGGCCTGGCTTACTTAATATAATTTTTTCCAAGTCTTTCCATTTCCTAACAAATAGGGCAGTGTCATGCTTTCTGATGGAGGTATAGAATTCCATTGTGTATATATACCACATTTTCTTGATCCATTCATCTACTGAGGGGCATCTGGGTTGGTTCCATATCTTAACTATGGTAAATAATGCTGCAATAAACATAGTTGTGCTGGTAGCTTTAGTATGCTCTTGTTTGTGATCATTTGGGTAAATACCCAAAAGTAGGATTGCTGAGTCATAGGGGAGCTCTTTGTGGAGTCTTTTAGGAACCTCCATACTACTTTCCAAAGTGGTTGAACAAGTTTACACTCCCACCAACAATGCAGTAGGGTTTCCTTCTGGCCACATCACCTCCAACACCTGTTGTATTACAGTTCTTGATTATAGCCATTCTAACTTGGGTGAGGTGGTATCTCAGTGTTGTTTTGATTTGTATTTCTTTTATGGCTAGAGAGGTTGAGCTCTTCCTCATGTGTCTATTGGCCATCTTTCTTTCCTCTTCAGAGTCATCTCTCTGTAACTCTTGCTTTTTCTTTTTCTTTTTTTTTTTTGTCGGTCATGGGGCTTGAACTCTGGGCCTGTCCCTGCACTCTTCAACTCAAGGTGAGCGCTCTACCGCTTGAGCCATAGCACCACTTCTGGTTTTCTAGTGGTTTATTGGAGATAAGAGTCTCCCGGACATTCCTGCCCGGGCTGGCTTTGAATCGCAATCCTCAGATCTCAGCCTCCTGAGTAGCTAGGATTACAGACGAGAGCCACCGGCAACTGGCTTCTCTGTAAATCTTTAGCCCACTTATTTATTGGGCAGTTGTTTCTTTGAGGATTTGTTGTTGGGGGATTTAATTTTTTGAGTTCTAGTTATATTTTAGATATGAGACCCTTGTGCATTGCATGGCTAGTGAAGATCTTCTCCCAATCCATGGGTTTTCTATTGATTTTGCTAGCTATGTCCTTTGCCATGCAGAAGCTCTGCAATTTCATGCAATCCCATTTGTCCAACTTTTCTTTGATTTGTTGTGTTTCTGGGAGCAGCAAGCTAAGCCCCAATCCAATAGATGGATAGAAATAATTAAAATTAAATCAGAATTAAACCAATTAGAATCCAAAAAAATTAAGAAAGAATCAACAAAACAAAGAGTTGGTTCTTTGAAAAAAATTTTAAAAAATTGACAGATCCTTAGCAAATCTTATCAGACAAAGAAGAGAACACACCCAAATAAACAAACTCAGGGATGAGAATGGAAACATCACCACAAAAGCAACCAAGATCTAGAACATTATAAGGGAATATTTCTCAAACCTTTATGCTAATAAGTTTGAGAACCTAGAAGAAATGGACCTTTTCCTAGCAAATATCAACATGCCAAAACTAAACCAAGATGAGTTAAACCAACTTAACAGGCCCATATCAAGCATTGAAATAGAAACAGCAATAAGAGCCCTCCCGTCTAAGAAAAGCCCAGGACCGAATGGATTTACAACGGAATTCTACAAGGCCTTCAAAGCAGAGCATTCTATTTCTTTATCTCCCTTGTCAAAGATTAGGTGCTATAGGTCTGTGGGTTCATTTCTGAGTCTTCAGTCCTATTCTATTGGTCCTCAGGTCTGTTCTTGTGCCAGTACCAAGCTATTTTGGTTACTATGGCTTTGTAGTAGAGTTTGAAATTTGGAATTGTTATTCCTCCAGCACTGTTCTTTCGACTAAGGATTGTTTTTGCTATTCGGGGTCTTTTATTGTTCCATGTGAATTTTTGGATTGCTTCCTCTATTTCTTTTTTTATTTAATAAGTTTTTATTGTAAAAATACTGTACAGAGGGGTTACAATTACATGAGCAAGGTAATAAGTACATTTCTTATCAAACATTGTTGCCTCCTCCTTTATTTTTCCCCTACCATCCTTGTCCTCCCATGACTACACTCCCCTCTCCAAGTTGTAAAGTTCGTTTTTCAACATAGCATTTTGTACATCTCATTGTTGCAATGGGTCAACCTGTATCCCTATTTAAACAATTTGTTTTTTTCCCTTCCAGCTAAATTATACCAACATCAAATACAGTGAAAACAGGGGTTATACCGTGAGGGAGGGACATACAAAGCAACAAAACAATCACCTTATAAATATGTTAGGAACAATAGCAAAAAAGAAAAAAACTGCTTGTGTCCTTATCTTGGGGTTCATTTCGCCTAACATCAACTTATCTGACTGTTTCTGCTTGTCTCATACATATACTAGTTATTGCAAATAAAGGAAAGCATGGGACCTATGTTTCTTTGGACCTGGCTTACTTCACTTAATATAATTTTTTCCAAGTCTTTCCACGTCCTAACAAATGAGGCAATGTCATTTCTGATGGGGGCATAGAATTCTATTGTGTATATATTGTTGGTGGGAGTGTAAACTTGTTCAACCACTTTGGAAAGTAGTGTGGAGGTTCCTCAAAAGACTCCACATAGAGCTACCCTATGACCCAGCAATCCCACTTTTGGGCATTTATCTGAATGATCACAAACAAGACCATTCTAAAGCTACCAGCACAACTATGTGTATTGCAGCTTTATTTACCATAGCTAAGATATGGAACCAACCCAGATGCTCCTCAGTAGATGAATGGATCAAGTAAATGTGATATATATATATATATATATATATATATATATATATATATATATATATAATGGAATCCTATGCCTCTGTCAGAAAGAATGACATTGCCTCAATTGTTAGGAAATGGAAAGACTTGGAAAAAAATTATATTAAGTGAAGTAAGGCAGGCTCAAAGAAACATAGGTCCCATGGTTTCTCTTGTTTGCAATGACTAGTATATGTCTAGGACAGGCAGAGAAGGTCAAAGGCTATGTACATACGACCACATGAGATAATGTTAAGCAAAATGTTCCCCAAGACTGGGACACAAGTGGTTTTTTTCTTTCTTGCTAGTGTTTTTAATGTACTTACAATGAACTATGTAATTCTTTTGTTTCTTTTGTATGTTCTTCCCCCACAGTATAACCCATTTTCACTGGGTTTGATGCCAGTGTTCTGCACCTTGTATATACATTTTTGTAATTTGGGAAGGGGAAAGGATATTGGGGAACGCTTAAATGGGGATGCAGGCTGACCCATTGTGACGATGACGATGAGATGTACAGGACACTATGTTAAAAACAAACTTTTCAATGTCATCATTGTGGGGGGCGGGAGGAATTGGGGAGGTGGGGAGGGAAGTGATGGTAGGGAGAAAACAAAACAAAAGAGGAGGTAAAGTGCTCCCTACAAAATGTATCATTACCTTACTCATGTAACTGTAACCTCTCTGTACAACATTTTTACAATAAATATATTTTTTTAAAAAAGAATCTCACAAACTCTCCTGCCTGAGCTGGCTTTGAGCCTCGAGTCTCAGATCTCAGCCTCCTCAGGAGCTAGGATTACATGTGTGAGCCACCAGTACCCAGCTTCTATTCTTTTTAAGTATACAACAAAATTGGCATTCATTCTGTGTCTGCAAATACCATACTTTGATTAATACATTTGTGTGTGCTTGCATGCAACCCTATATGTGTTTACTTGTACATTCATAATTAGCTCACATATGAGAGAGAACATACACTCTTTGTCTCTCTGAGCCTAGCTTACTTCACTCCATGTATTTTCCCAAGTCCAACCAATTCTTTGTTAGATGGTAACTCCTATGTGCAACTGCTTAAAGATAATAAAAATGTATTTAAACAAAAAAAGGTAGTGAAGTTGGTAGTGAAGAGGACCAGGACAGAGAGATCCCATGAAAGTATTTCAGTCATCCTGGGGAGGCAACTTGGAAGATGTTAAAGGAAGGTGAAATTTGAAAATCTAAAAGGAGACTGGGTGCTGGTGGCTCACAACTGTAATCCTAGTTACTCAAGGAGACTGAGATCTGAGGATCATGGTTTGAAGCTAGCCAGGCAGGAAAGTCTGTGAGACCCTTATCTCCAATTAACAAGCAAAAAGCTAGAAATGGAGCTATAGATCAAACAGCTATACATAAAATCAGCTCAAGACATCCATATGGTATAAAATTGTAAACTACATTGGTATGGGAAACACTCAAAACCTCAATTTAAGGGAAAAGGAATAAAAAGAGTGAAGGAAAGAACACAGACAATCTGTTCCAAATGGTGACATACTTTTATTTAAGGCAGATAGATCATGGCATCTTTCAAAGAGGAAAAGTAGTAATCCAAATGCTCACCAGCCTTTCACATCATGAAACTTACATATACCCAATGCAATACAATATCTGGAAGTTAGCAGAAATCAAACTTTTATATTTTTGGAGAAAATTTAACTAAAAGATCAAAAGATAAAAATCAATCATAAAAATAAAAAATTAACAACAAACTAGAAGTTAGAGGTATGTATCTGTAATCTCAGCTACTATGGAGGCTAAGGTGAGAAGATCTCAAGAGTAAGGCCACTCTGGGCAACATAGCCAACTTGTATCTTAAAAAAATTAAATGCATAATCTGATTAAAATAAAAGACATGTCATTTACCTTAACATTCTGGACCAATGAAAGGAAAGGACTCTGAGTTTTTAAGGTTTGTTTGTGCTGGCACTGGGGCTTGAACTCAGGCCCTGGGCATTGTCCCTTAGATTTTTTGCTCAAGGCTGGTGCTTTATTACTTGATCCATGGCTTCTCTTCAGTTTTTTGGTGACTGAGTGGAAGTCAGAGTCTCACAGATTTCTTGGTGGGTTTCAAACTAATTCACCAGTGATATTCACTGGACACTATATTGGAGATGAAGGATACAATTTGGGGAGAAGGGGAATGGGGAGGGACAACACTGTAAAAAAATAAAGGAGGAGGTGACACTGTTCAAAAAGAAATACACTCATGACCTGACTTATGTAACTTAACCCCTCTCTACATCACCTTTACACTTAAAAAAAACTGTGATCTTCACACCTCAGCCTCCTGAGGAGGTAGGATATGTTCTTCAAATTGGACTTCTTAGCAGGAAGTTTGCTTTGAGCACTGTGCAGGAATCACTGAGGGAAGGACAAGACATAAGGAGCTCCTCAGCTTGCTCCATGGAGAAGCACCCCCTTTTGAAGGCTTATGGCCCTGAGGTGCATGGGTTCAAATGCCAGTACTTTGGTTGCTACCCTGTGACTCTGGTGAATGATTTAACCACCACCCCGCATGCATAAAATGGAGATTTTATTAACCAAATAACATAAAACTCTTAGAAAAGGGACAGAGTAAATACTCAATAAATATGAAGTATTGTTATCAGGCCAAAAAATTTTGTCAGTGTGCACATCTATCTTTAGGAAAAGAACAAGACAAGTCATATTCTTCTCATTTTGAGAGAGAGGTGTGGCACAGGTAACCAGATAATTTGCTTGTTACAACTTTCTTCTGACTTGGAGAATCAAATGAAAGTAAATTTTGACATGTCATATGTTCCTTATAGTGAATTGAACTCTCAACACTTTCTTTTCCTGTCTAGAGAGGTAAAATATTTCTAACTTGAGTGGTTGACATTTGAGAGGGTTACAAAAACTCTTACATATTAGACCATAAATGTTAGGTCTGGAAAGCAAGGTATATTGAAAAGCACAACATATCCAGAAGAATAAACAGATCAGAAATATATAACATTTCCATAGCAGGACAAATGCACCCCTTTAGGCAGGTTCCAAGAATCATGGAGGAATCAAGGGCCAGGCTTTGGGCTTAGTCAGAATTCAGCCAACAAGTATCCAGAATAGGAAACAGTTTCTGATGAATGTTCTAAGAATGGTTTTGTAATTCCTGTTGCTGCTAAAGATATAGGAGAGTATATCCCTCCACCAACTATTAGGAACCTGAGTCAGGCAACAAAAATATAACAAGTAGCAAAAGTAAGCCAGGCACTGTGTGACTAAAAGTAATTTCCTTACTCCAGTTATAACCCAAAGTGGCCTAATCTTGGCTCCTAGCCACTGCTATGAAGAAGTGAGTGGCGAATTCCGGTCTCTAATTTTCCACCACTAAAACCTGCTAAAAACATTTTCATTTATGCAAAGGTTTCGCTTTCATAGCTAGAGATTAAATGGCAATTAAAGTACTGTCCTAGAGATGGCAGTGAGAGAAGGCTCAAGAGGCTGTAGGTAGAACTCCACTGCCCTAGGTTTGATTTCCAGAACCAACAGGAAAAGAAAAGAGAGAAGGGGAGGAAGAGAAAAGGGGAAGGGAAGAGAGGGAATAAAGGGGAAAGAGGACTTCATTGTATGATAGTAGCTAAACTGAAGGACAGAAATTTCAAACCACCCCATACCCTAACCATGACATAAGAATGAAACTAAATTTCTGCCATAAAATCACACTGTTCTTTATCTTTACCTTCCATAAAAAAAGCAACATCCAGAAATAAGAGGCTAGCAGAACTTTACTCTTACACAAACCATTTCTTGAGATGAAAAGATTTTGAAAGTATTTCTATAGAAGGATTTAGATTGGCATTCATTCAGCCTCCTAAAATACATCTTCTGAAGGCTTGAATTAGGACTTCCCTCCAGGAGTTTTCTTTTCAATTCCTTTAGCTTTTAGCTCCTCCTTGACACGTTCCAGGTACGTGGGATCAGGGTAACCAAAGCTGCAAAATGAAAAACAAAAACAAAACAAAAAAAAAAAAAAAACAACTCTTTAGTTTCACATCAGTGGTTCTAAAGAATCTATACAATAGATCTTCTGTATTTGAAGGTTACAAACATTCACAGGTAAGTCCTGATGGTAGATGATGTATAATCATTATTTTCTTTCTTTCTTTTCTTTTTTATAGGTCCAAGACCAGGACTTGAACTCAGTATCTGCCACTTTTGCTCACTGGCTAGCACTCTACCAATTGAGCCATATCTCTAACCTCTGTATAATCATTTTCAGTGTGCAGATAAGACTCAGCTAGCTAATAAGTACATTTAGTCAGGCCAGCAGGCTTTAAACTTTTCAGTTCATTATAAGCTGTAATGCTTTTAAGATTATGACACACTGTATTTTACAAATAAGATTGTAAAGTTTGAGGGATAGATATAGTTTAAGCTGGGCACCTTTGGCTCATGGCTGTAATTCTAGCTACTCAGGAGGCTGAGCTCTAAAGATCAAAGCTTTTAGCCAGCTGGGACAAGAGAGTCCATGATATTCTTATCGCCATTTAACCAGCAAATAGCTGGAAGTGGAGCTGAAATAATGACAGCCTTTAGCAAAAAAAAGCTAAGGAATGGTGTCTAGGCCCTGAGTATAAGCCAAGTACCAGCGCATGCACGCGCGCGCGCGCACACACACACACACACACACACACACGCGCACACACACACACACACACACACGTCAAAAAATATTTCTTTTGTCTGAGGTACTCTGAGTTTCATAAAAAAAAGAAAGCAACTTGATTCCCTGATATGTGTATGTGGTAGCTTAAGAATGTAGTCCTAGCTATTTGAAAAGCAGAAATGAGGCAGAGGATTGCCATTGAAGTCAGCCAAGGCATTAAAAATATAAACAAACATACAAGAGTTTTTGAGACATAATCTCAACCAATGGTTTGTCACAGTGGCAGCCACTTGTCATCCCCAATGATGCAGAGAAGCACAAGTAGGAGGATCGCAGCCCAGGAAGGATGGGCCAGGCATAAAGCAAGGCTCTAACTAATCAACACACACAACACACAAAAAGGCTAGCAGAATAGCTCAAATGATAGAGCACCTGCCTAGAAAGCATGAGGCCCTGAGAGTTTGACCCCCAGTACCACCAAGAAAAAAAATCAGATCTCCTATTAAACAGCTTCTACCACCAATTAGTTCCCTTACAACTAAACCTTTTTCTAGCATGCCTTTGGCCAAGTGAGTTCAGATTCTTTGTGGTCTATTATAAAAAGAAGGGGAAAAGATAGGACCTCAAAAGATGACCTTAAGCAAAAGCAAATAATATTCCTATGATCAGCCCTTCAAACAGACATAAAGCCCCAAACTAAGTCAACATGGATACCACAGTCCTGAGTACATAAAACTCTGTGGTTGGCAAGAGAAAAGGTTATAGAGACCAATCTTTCTGGCTTTGAAATTATTATATCAAATTAGCATCTCCTAAAATACTGCAAAATACCACTGTCAATAAAGTCTACTTAATCCAGGCTCCAGTGGGCTCATGCCTATAATCTTAGCTACTCAGGAGGCTGAGATCTGAGGATCATGGTTCAAAGCCAGCCCTGGTAGGAAAGTCTGTGAGACTCTTATCTCCAATTAACTACCAGAAAACTGGAAGCACCATGGCTTAAGTGGTAGAGCTCTTGCCTTGAGTTGAAGAGCTCAGGGTAGCACCCAGGCCCAGAGTTCAAGCCCCTCAACTGACAAAAAATAAATAAAGTCTACTTATATCCACACCCTGAAATTGCCACATTTCATCACCTCTACACTTCGTTTACCAACTGTAGTATTTCAAGAAGTTCTCACTTTTGTGGTCCTCCATATTTTGATGTTTTATGGTGGATATCATTCCATGTGACAACATCAGAGACTCCCAATACTCGAGAATCCCCCACTGTGAAAATCAGCTTTTGTTCAAAGGCGATTTTGAGCAGATCCAAAACCTCCCTTCCTTCCTTATTATTAGGCAAATATGCAGCTCTCTGTGTTCCATAATAAGGCTTTCCTGGGTTTGGATGTTCTTTCTGTAAGAAAACAAGAAAATACCATTTGAAAACAGTCTGCTGCTAAGCTTTACATATTTTTTTTTCTTTGTAGATAGAACAAACTAAAAGAAAGAAAAGTACTAAAGCTGTCATCAGATTCCCGATAATTCATGTATCTTCTCTTCAAATTCATTCTAGGAATATTACCATTCAACTCCCCACATCCCAACATGTAATCCCCACCTATCCTTCTTCTACCTTAAGAAACAGACACAAGTAGAAAACTCAAAGAGATGTGTGGGGAGCATATAGATGGGAAGGGAAGGAACTATAGAAGGGATAACTCTGATCAAGATGAATTTTACAGCACCAGCACTACACAGGAGGCTGAGATCTGAGGCAGTTCCAAAACAGCTTAGGCAGGAAAATCTGTGAGATTCTTATCTCCAATTAATCACCCCCCCCCCAAAAAAAGCTGAAAGTGGAAGCATGGCTCAAGTGGTAGAGTGGTAGCTTTAAAGGAAAAAGCTGCAGGACAGCACCCAGTTCAACCCCAGTACTGCACCCATCCCCCACAAAAATTCATTTTACATATAACTGGACATGTTAGATCAAAACACCATTGTACAACTATTGGAAGTTAATAATAAAAAAGAAGCATTTCAAAAAGGAACGAAATAGACACGAAATGCTGTGGTTTTAGCTTGGTAGTACAGTGTCTATTTAGCCCTGGATTCAATCCCAAACATGGGAGAGGAAGAACAAGAGAGGAAGAGAGAAAAGGAGAGGGAGAGAGGGAGAGGAAAACAGGAATGATATCTCTTAAAAAGCAAAGTATGTTCAATCCCTTGCACAATGTCCTTGAAATAATTCTCTGGGAAATCTATTATCTAAGAGGTAACAGAGAAATCACTTTTGCTCTGGTAATCCTAACATAATGCGGGGGGAAAAGCAGGGAACTCAGGAACTTACACTTTGTATGCCTTTTTCTATCTTATATTGAATCTCAATGGTGCCACAGCCTTCATAACCTGGAAGTGGCTCTTTCAAAATGGTGTGAGTCATGGATCCATTTGGTTGATTCCCTTTATGGACACCATAGGAAACTTGGCACACAGGACAAACTGGCTTATATGTCATGGACTTTCTGATACAATCATCACAGAATTCATGCTTGCACTTTGGCAACACGTGCTTGTTTCTAATGGTATCCATGCAGATGACACAAATGGCTTTCTCCTCATTCACTTCTGAGACCTCAGAGCATGCAGAGCTGCTGAGGGAGAGAGAAGTTGATTTTGATGCATTCTGATCAATTTCCATGGGTGTCTCCTGTTCCATATTCAATTTCCCTCCAGTGGATAATACCTCACTTTCTAAGAAGATATGCTGCTTAGCTTCAGCAAAATGCTTTGGCAAACCAATCAAAGTCATTGACTCTTTGTTCAATGCCAAGTGTATATATGGATGACTTTTCCTAAAGTCATCAACAAACTTGGTCCAATGTAAGTGCTTTTTATCCTGGCCCAGATGTTTCAGTGAAAGATCTTCTCTTACCAGCTGACTTGTGACATATTGAAAAGCATCAATGAAACTTGCAGACGCATGGGCAGACAGATCCTGCTTATCCACAGGATTAAATTGAATGAATGTTTTCTGACGTTTCGTACAAACTGTACCACTAGTGTTGTACTTTTGCTCTATCTCTTTTATCTCCTGGAGTAATTCAGCTTCTAGAAGCTTATAGAGAACAGTATTAACCTCGATTTCATTCATCCCACTGGCTAACATTTTCACAGGTATCCTGACATTTTCAGAGATTTTTTTTTTGGCAGCTGAAATGTCATCTTGGGTCCCAAGGAGAGTTAGCATTCCTCCTTTTTCTTTTATCAGAAGCTTTCTAAAACAGTGACTCAGTTCCTGTTTTGTCCACTGACTGTCTGCTAAAGAGACAGAGTCTTGAGTCAGAGATTCTGTGTTCTTCTGAAACTCCTTGGTAAAATACTCTCGAGCTGCATCCAGATCACCTGATTGACCAGGGATAAAATCTATATAGACTGCATTGGGAGGTATATCTTGAGTTTGGATGTGTACACCAAATAGTGTCTGTATGGATTCTATTTTATCAGGACAAGTATGCATGAAATATTCGAAGTAAGGCAAAGAAAGTTTAAAACCTGTATCTTCTGATCTGGTGTTTGGTTCTGAAGTGTACAGGTTGCTGTCCCAGTCCTGCAGGTCAGATGACACAGTCTCCACGGTGGAAAGGGAAGACATCTCTTCCTGCTCATGTTCTATCAGTTGCCTACTGAAGAAGTGGTAGATTTTTTCAATGTCTCTGAAATCACCAGAAACCTTCTCAATTCCATCTTCACCCTCCATCTTCTTGATACCAGGGCAGAGAATGGTCACTTGTGCCCTCTGCTCTTTGGAAAACAGGTCACAGTTCAGGCTAGCCTCCACCATCTGAAAGACCTGAGATTTTAAAAAGAAAGGTAGAAATAAGATTTCTCCCACACCTACAGTCTTCTCTTCGAAAGGCTGTCTTTCCTTAGCAGGGAATTATTCTTTTCAAATCCTTTCAGAAGAAGAATGTGTGCTATAACCCAGAAGTTCTTAGTCCTACATGCATATTAGAATCAGGTAAGTGGTTTAAGAAAGAAAAAAAGCCAGGGCCCAGACTCATCTCAGAAATTCATGTAATTTGTTTGTAGTAAGGCACAGGAAATAACTGTTTTTGTATGTGTGCCAGTTCTGGGGCTTGAACTCAGGGCCTGAGTACCATGTCAGTTTTTTCACTGCTCTATCATTTGAGCCACAGACCCACTTCCAGATCTTAGCTGTTTAAATGAAGTTAAGAGTCTCATGGATTTTCCTTCCCAGACTGGCTTTGAACTGATATCCTCAGATCTTAGGCTCCTGAGTAGCTAGGATTACAAGTGTGAACTACCAGCACTCAATAGGAATAAGTATTTTAAAGCCCTGTGGCTAAGAGAGCTATGTTGTAGAGCTGGCATTAACTACTTAACCTTGGGGGATACAGGATGAGGGTAGAGAGAAAGTATTTCTGCACTCTAGACAAGTTGCTGTGGTCTCACAAGAGTCAAGAAGCTTAGAAGGTAGCCATATGACAAAGGAGGCTTTGCTTATTTATCAGTCTTTTTCCTCTTATTTTCTTACCTTCAATAAAGCAAAACAAAATAGTAAGCTTCTGACTTTATGCAGAGTTGTTAGTCCCTTTTAAACCTTGGTCTCTAGAGGCTCAGTTATAGGAAAGAAGGATCAGATTAGGACTAAAAGGACAGAGCCAAATCAGATGCAAGAAAAAAGCGAATTTTCTCATTTTAATTTTGCAAGGAGGACTTTCTGGGGGGAGAGGGGTATGGAATATTGTTCCTCTAGATTTTCAGGTGTTTTTGTTTTTTCTTCAATCTAGCCTCTTCTCATCCCTCTAACAGGAATGGTTGCCACTGGCAGGCATTTTGTTGTGTATCTACTTGTTTATGATTATCTGTTCCTCTTATTAGGAAGTAAGGGCCTCAAGTGCAGAGGCTGTAGTTCACCTGGGTGTGTCACCGCCCTGTAGCCTGTAATAATGTCTGGCACACAGTAGGCAGTCAGTATCTATTTGTTGAAGAAATTTTGGATGTTTGCCTCCTTCTCATCATTTAAGTTTTAGGCCACATATCACCTTTTGCAGAAAAGTAGATTTTGCCTTTTCATCAGAAGTAGAACCACCTCTATCTTCCCCTTCCTCACCCTGGCCCTGTTCCTTTCTGAAGCAAAACTACATTGTATTCTCTTCTTACCATGTACTCGTCTCTGAAATAGGTTTGTCCTATTCATTCCTTCGTTTATGGTTTATTATTTCTGTGCACCTCTCTATCTCCAATACAAGCTGAATGGTAGCAGGGACCTTTTTGTGCACACCTCTGTGTCCCAGTTCCTAAACTACAGTCAGTCCCCAGCAAGTAGTTATTAGACCAACAGAGCAGAAGGTATGGAGACCACAGGGGCAGTCACAGGAACAGAACAGACTCCTATCAACACTCACCTTCTGGACACAGGCGTTCCCAGCTCTAGGAACAAGTCCTACCTTTGGATGCTTCTCATCAGACAGTGCTTCCACTTGCCACTGTGTCAATGAAGGAATTCTGGGTCTTGTATTCTCTTTTGACTTTTTAGTGGTTTCCAGGAAAACAGTCACATATTTATTGTCAACCTCAATCTGGTGCTTCTCTTTTTCCAACACTCTCTTCTTGGCTTTGAGGGAGACATAAAACAAATGTCCACACAGAAACAAGAGAGAGTTCAAAACAAAGGAGGAAGCAACAATGCTCTATAGGTAATGTACTCGTTACCTTACTCATGTAACTGTAACCCCTCTGTACAATATTTTTACAATATAAAAATGTACTTTAAAAAAGAAAAAAAAGAGAGTTCAAATGTTTGGCCCTTGCTATTTCCTGTGAGTTGGTTCTGGGAACCCCCAAGGATATACAAATTCATGAATGCTCAAGTTCTTGGCATAAAAACAGCACAGAATGGGCCTATCTTCTACTCACATCTCCTATCTAGTTTAAACAAGTTCTAGATTATCTGCAATACTGTGTTACTTATTACACTGATTTGTTTAGGGAATATTGGCAAGAAAAGTATCTACATGTTCACTACAAATGCTTTTTTTTTTCCTCAAGTATTTTCCATCCCTGGCTGGTTGAATCTATAGAGACTGAACCCGTGCACCCAGGCCTCTTTCATTCACCTGTTTGCTGTCCCAGCTAGGTGGCAGTCAAGCTGTCCCCCTGCATCCTGGTCTAAAGGTGAGCTGGTGAGAAGAGAAGTATATGGAGTTGTTCAGAACTCTGAAGTAGGTAGCTTGAGTTTTACTGTAGAAATGAAAGCTTAAGCTAGATGCTGGTGCCTTATGCCTGTAATTCTAGCTGCTCAGAAGGCTGAGATCTGAGGATTGTGGTTCAAAGCCAGCATTGACAGACTAGTCTGTGAGACTCTTACCTCCAACTGACCATCAAAAAGTAGAAAGTGGAGCTGTGGCTCAAGTGTGCACCAGATTTAAGCACAAAAACCCAGTCCTTGAGTAAAAGCTCCAGTACCAGCACAGAGAGGGGGGAGGTGGGAGGGAGGGAGGGAGGGAGAAAAAGAGAGGGAGGGAAAGAGAGAGAGGGAGGGGGAGAGGGAGGGAGGGAGAGCTTAATGATAATGGAACATCATCTCATTAAATTAATGGAACACCCTCTCCTCTGTAAAATTATGTTTCTGAAAATTGTCTCTAATTCCCCATTTCAACGATAGGAAAAAAAAAAACCTCATTCATTATGTAGTTAAGAGGGGGAAAAAAAGAGAGAATCCAAAGTTCAGACTTACAATGTTGTAAAGGCATGTATATTTGTTGACATTTATAGAAAATGACCAGAAGGAAATATACCAAAATGGTCTCACAGCAAATTTCCACATTATTTTCTTCTTTCTTCTGTTCTCTCTTTTCTATGGTAAGCATATACTACTTTTGCAATCCTCAAACACAAGTTAATGGATAATGATTTAAAACTTGAAAGTGGCCAGGGATGTAGCTCAGTAGTGTAACACAAAATAAAAATTTTAAAGGAAAGAAAGAAAAGAAGATCAAAAGCAAATGAAAGTGGAAGGCTTGCATGAAACTCCAGCAGTGACCAGGAAGGGATCGGTGCTTGGCGAGCAGATGGGAAAGGACCTGACTTTAGTGTCAGTCCAGATAAGCACTTGGAAAGTGTGATTCTTGGGGGGCAATGAAATCAGACCAGGGGCTTGGTACAACGCGGGTGGGGGAATCTATCCACCACTGTGGGGCTGGGAAGTCTGCTGGGGTCCCTGTCTCCCCCGCTTCCCCAGGGGCCACACAGTCCAGGCCTCCCCTTCTAGGACCTGTAGGGCTGGGTACCCTCAATAAAGGACGGCCTTTGCACCCCAGCCTGCCCCCCCCCCCCCACTCACCTGCCCTATCTGCAAACTCCACCAGGAAGGTGTCAGGGCCGCTGTGGCTCCCGGGACGCACGCTGCACTCCCCGCCGCCCGAGGCCTTGGTCTGAAAGTACCTCTCCAGCTTCCTGGAGATTGTCCCAGGCCGTTTCTGGATGGTCTGGGACAATCTCACTACGAGTGGGGACGGCGGCGGGCTGAGGCTGGAGGCCATGACTCCAGGTGTGTCAGTCCGGCTGGCGTGAAGACGGAGACCTGGGTAGCGTCTTGAGCCAGGGCAGGGCAAAGGCGCTTTGCGTCCCGCCCCACCCTGCGAGATGGGGCGCAAAGTTTCAGTTTCGCTTCCCAGTTCCCTTCCTGTTCCCAGCAGAGCTGCCTCTCCTGCTCGCTGCTGTCTTCCAGAGGCCTTCGTCGGGCGTGAGTAGATTGAGAAGAGGCTGACCCCCGTGAGAAACTTGGGGGCCCCTCTTGCAGGCTCGGGGTGGGGGACAGGTGGAGGGAGGGAGCCAGCAAGGACAGGGGGTCCCCAGTGCCAGGGCTCCTATTTGAGGATGTAAAGGAGGCAGGGGAGACGTTTCCTCCGCTTTTCTGTTCTTTGAATCCGTTACCATTATTATTTGTCATTCCGATGTAATTCACATTTTGAGTTCTTTTTGTTTGTTTGTTTGAGTTGTGTGTGCTTGTCTGCATGGTGACTTCTTATGCGCTTCCTCCCTGCAATGTGCCCATTAGATTGGCACTTGGGCTGCCTGACCCTCCCCCCTGGAGTTGGCCAACAACACTGTACTATTTGCTGATCACCTAAGGGCTTGGTAATGGGGCCAGCGAACCTGAGAACAAAGAAGCAAAATCTCTTGAAGACCCTCTGGAGGAAGAAGTTTCTAGCAGTGCTGGGGCTGGATTAGGAAAAGAGTATCTGATACTTAGGCAGAGAGAGGCCTGGGGGGAGATGAGAAAAACCTGCAAGATGACCTGCTCATTAGGTCCATAGTGAGAAGCACTTGGGTTAACTTAAAAATTCCCAGCTATATTTGCAATTTGGAGTCAAACAAACCAGGTACAAGTTGGGCACTAGGGCCTCATGCCTGCCATCCTGGGTATTCAGGAGGCTGAGCTCTGAGGATCACAGTTTGAAGCCTAAGCAGATAAAAGAAAATCATAAGAATCTTATCTCCAATTAATCACTGAAAAGGCAAAAGGGGAGCTGTGGCTCAAGGGGTAGAGCTTCAGCCTTGAGGGGGAAAAAAAAGAAAAAGAAGGGAAAGGGACAGGGCCCAGAGCTCTGAGTTCAAACCTCAGTACTGACAGACACAAAAGAATGAAAGAGAAAGAAAAAGGAGAAGTTAATTTTACTGTTGTTATATAAGTCAGTATATCTAAATTGTAGTCCTTTCAGCAGGCAATGGGATAGTTTATTCTTTTTTCCCCTTAGTTTTTGTTATTTGGTGTTTTGTACACTTAAGCCTTACATCTCATTTCACACTAATCTCATGCACAGGGCTCAATTGCTTCATATGCCCAATGCTACCTTGGATAGCATAGCTCTGAGGATCCAGAGAGGAGAAATGGAAGGATCAGAAAGCGGGGAGCAGGTGACTCACCAGGCTTGCATTTTAAAATAAGGGGGATGACAATTGTGTGGAAGACATTTTTTTTTCTTTTGTGACAGTACTAGTGCTAGAACTTAAGGCCTGGGCACTATCCTTTAGTTTTGGTGTTTTTGGTTTTTTTTTTCCTTCAAGCCTGGTGCTCTTCCACTTGAACCATACTTACACTTCCAGCCTTTTGGTAATTGGAGGTAAGAGTCTCATGGGCTTTCCTGCTCTGGCTTAGCTTCAACTTCAATCCTCAGGTCTCAGCTTCCTGAGTAGCTAGGATTGCAGGTGTGAGTCACCAGTATAGTGTTATGTTTTAAATGGAAGAGATTGACTATTTTAGTCAATGTGCTTTCTTGTTTTCACTTTCTTTGGTGTTAGATGGATGTCACTAACTTCTCCCCACACTCAAGTCAAGTCTATTTCTGGGTCCTTAGGGCCTGGTTGAAGGACAGATACAAGTGAAACAACATCTAAACAAAAAGCCTCCCAGCACCCCTTGGCAAATGCAGCAACCCTCTTCTTTTTAAAAACAGCAGTGCCCTCTGGAGGCACAAATGCATCTTGTTCTTAAATTTTAGAATTGTGCAGGCCTTATTCCTTAAGACATATGAATAATGGTGTTTCGGTGTTCTCTTGTTTCTATTGGAAAGAAATTATACATCACTTCAGAGACTTAAACACAGCAACAAATGTGAACCACTGTATCTTTAAGCATTTTAATTATCATTCGTTTAACAACTCACAGTCTTTAATTCTTAGGTTGAGTATATTTTTCCCAAGTTTCTAAATTTTGCTCCGATATGCCCTGTCTAATTAGGTAAAAGTTGTTGATCATAAACGCAGAAATATGTACCTGATACAGGCACAATTAGTGTTTCCTCTTTCTTCAGACACTGTTCTGGGCTCTCCGCTCCTTCTAAGGCTGTTGCATGAATGCTGTGCTCAATTGGATCACTTTATTGTCATGTTCATCTGTGTATGTGTATGCATGAGGGGGGGAGTGTGCATGCACATGTGTGAGTGAGTGTGTGTGTGTGTGTGTGTGTGTGTGTGTGTGTGTGTGTGTGTTTATCTGTACTAGAGCTTCAACTAAGTGCCTGGATACTGTCAATTAGCTTCTTCATTCAAGGCTGATGCTCTACCACTTGAGCTACAGTTCTGTATACTTCTGTACAGCTATAGCTCTGTATACTCTGTACAGCTCTCTACATTTTCTGGCTTTTTGGTGGTTCATTGGAAATAATTGTCTTATGGAATTCCCAGCCAAGGTTGGCTTTGAACCTCGATTCTGAGACCTCAGCCTCCTGAGCTGTTTGGAGTATAGGTTTGAGCCAACAGCTATCATGAACATGTTCCATGTTCATCTTTTAAAATTTTTATTTATTTATTTTTGTCAGTCGTGGAGCTTGAACTCTGGGCCTGGCCACTTTCCCTGGCTCTTCAGCTCAAGGCAAGCACTCTACTGCTTGAGCCACAACACCACTTCTAGTTTTCTAGTGGTTTATTGGAGATAAGAGTTTCATGGAGTTTCCTGCCTGGGCTGGCTTTGAACCATGATCCATAGATCTCAGCCTCCTGAGTAGCTAGGATTACAGGCATGCGCCACTGGTGCCCGGATTCATCTTTTAATTTTGTAAAATTTTGTTCTATCCTGGCTCCTGTTTCACCTCCACAAAGCTTTCCCTGCTCCAACCCTTGAAGTATTTTCCCTTCTCTGATCTACCATTGGAGCTTCAGTTGGAACCTTTTCTAGAAAGGCAGAAGGTAAAGAATATCAATGAGAATACAATCTCCACATCCTCACCTATGAAATGCAAACTATTCAAGATTAGAAATAATTTTCACTCTTTGTATATCTTTACCAAACTCCCTTAGCTTCTCGTCAGTGCTTACTGTGTTCTTTCTATTGATTCCTAGTAGGCCACCAGTCTACCCTTGGAAACACCAACAAACATTGAAAGATCCACTGGGACTGGGACAATGGACTTCTCAATGGTAAAAAGCTTAATGTCTATATATCATGAACCCTAATAGTTTTATCTACAACAGAAGAAATCAAGAAATCTTCGGACAAATCTCTTGAATTTTTTTGCTGAGGCTGGCTTTAAAGAATGATCTTCAGATCTCAGCTTCCTGGATAACTTGGATTAAAGAAATGAGCCACTAGCACCTGGCCCATACGGTTTGAAGAGCACCCTAAAAGTGTTCTCTTTAACAGGTTGGCTCTGAGAATAAAATTGATGTAAAAGCTGAAAAAAAAAGTTTTCTCTTTATAACATGTGGGAAATGGGGAATCAATATACTGATCTAAAAATATAATATACGTATATGCATATTCAAAACTCTGTGTGCCTGGTGAAACTCCATGGTACAAGTAATACACTAAAATAAATAAATGACAGGAAAATAAAACGGGCTCTGTTAGGGCTTGTTTTTTGGAGAAGAGAGATGATGAATATGGTCAAAGTACCTTATATGCATGTATAAAAATAAGCCAACGAAACCTGTTGACATTGTTTTAAGAAGAAATAAGAGGAATAAGGGGCAAAGATAGGTGCTGTGTTTGATGTGATACACTCTGTGCATATATGGAAACATCACCATGAAACTCCTCTTATATAACTCATGTATGCTAAAAAGAATACAACAAAAATACAATATGCTAATCAATGCTTTCATAACATATATATGAGGCTCTAGGTTAAATCCTAATACTAAAAAGAAATCAAGGATGTATAATCTTTTTTTTTTTTTGGTGGTGAGGCTTGAACTCTGGGCTTGGCACTGTCCCTGTACTCTTCAGCTCAAGGGGAGCGCTCTACCACTTGAACCACAGTGCCACTTCTGGTTTTCTAGTTGTTTATTGGAGATAAGAGTCTCATGGACTTTCCTGCCTGCGCTGGCTTTGAACCATGATCCTCAGACCTCAGCCTCCTGAGTAGCTAGGATTACAGGCATTAGCCATGGGTGCCCAGCTTATATAATCTTTAAAAAAAAAAACTGTTTTCTCCCAACTGCCTAGTATGACCTATCAATAAAATCATTTATGTAGCAGATACTTAAATGTCTTCTCCTCTTCTAGAATGTTCTTTACTCTTTCAGTAATTTTGTTTCCACATGGGATAAGGAGGTTGATGGAGGAGGAATGAAAACAAGGGACTAGAGAAAGGTCTGTCATTTGCTGAGTCTGAAAATTCCTACTTAGGGCTTATGTCATGAAATAGGCAGTTGGAGGTGGCCCTGCATGGTGGGAGATAGAGCTGTTGAGGCTTATGTCTTCAGGCTCTCTATTCTGTCTAGAGAAAGTCCAGGAGACTTCAGATGCTGGAGACTGAGAGCTTTGGGTCATTTTGATCTGTGACCTTTGGGTTTCTTCAAGGGTTAATCGACAACCCTTCACTGGGCATCTGTGGCTCAAACTCATAATCCTAGCTATCCAGGAAGCTGAGATCAAAGCCAGCCCAGTAGCAAAGTCTGTGAGACTCTTGTCCCCAGTTAACCAACAAATAGCTAGAAGTGGAGCTGAAGCTCACAGGGTAGAGTGCTAGCCTTGAGTGAAATTGCTCAGGGATAGAGCCCAGGCCTTGAGTTCAATCTCCAGTACACACACACACACTCAATCCAGCTCTTCATCTCCTTCTGAATTAGAAGTGCATTGACTTCTAAAAAAGTAGGATAAGGTCAATGTTCA